CCGCTACTGGTGGCCTGGGTTCGGATCCCGGGCGCGCACCGACGCACCGCTTCTCTGGCCATGCTGAGGCCGTGTCCCACATACAGCAACTAGAAAGATGTGCAGCTATGACATACAACTGTCTACTGGGGCTTTGGGGGGAAAAAGGAGGAGGATTGGCAATAGATGTTAGCTCAGAGCCGGTCTTCCTCAGCAAAAAGAGGAGGATTAGCATGGATGTTAGCTCGGGGCTGATCTTCCTCACAAAAAATTAAAAAAAAAAAAAAGTATACATTTCTGTGATTTTTAGTAAATTCACTATGTTGTGCAACTATCACCATTATCTAATTCCAGAAAATTTTCATCACCCCAAAAGGAAACCTCTTACCTATTTGTAGTCAATCCCAATTCCCCTCTCTTCCCAATCCCTGGCAACCGATGATCTACTTTCTGTTTCTATGGATTTGCCTATTCTGGATATTTCATATAACTGGAACCAGATAACATGTATTTTTTTGTGACTGCCTTCTTTGTGACTGCCTTCTTTCACTTAGCATAATGTTTTCAAGGGTCATCCATGTTGTAGCTTGTGTCAGTACTTAATTCCTTTCTATGGCTGGATAATATTCAGTTGCATGAGTATACCATGTATTGTTTATCCATTGATCTGTTGATGACATTTGGGTTGTTTCTACTTTTTCGTTGTTATGAATAATGCTGTTATGAGCATTCAAGCACAAGTGTTTGTGTGGACTTAGGTTTTCAATTCTCTTTCGGTTCCCTGGAGTGGAATGTTTCTTGGAGTTACTATGTAACTTGGTGTTTAGCATTTTGAGGAACTGCCGGACTATTTCCAAAGTGGCTGCACCATGTTGCGTTCCCATCGGCAATGTATGAGAACTCTGCAACACTCTTGACATTGGCTTTAGTCCCTGCTTGCCTTAGAATTCCGAAATGGGAAGGCCCAGGAGAGAGAAGGCTGCCGCCAGCCTCCACTCATCCCTTTCCCATATAGTTATGCGCGACAACAAGCTTTGCAAACTTCAATTGTCTGAAAAGCATACTTGGGCCCTTGGGTGGTTTATCTTCCTTGCGGCGGGGACAACACAGCCTTGGTCCTTGCAGCCGAGGAGGAGCCATCGGTGGATAAGCTCAGCGCTGTGGCTTGGCTGGTGTGCACACCGGAGGGAGCAGCGTTTACCTGCGCCGTTTGCGAGAAGAGTTCTCATTATGTAGGTGCCGCCAGGCGTGTTTCTGCTCAGCCTCATCAGCCTCTGTAATGGATCCTGGGCTTCCTGCAAGGATGCTGGTCTTGGCTCTTGTGGATATCTGGGCGTGAGGCTGGGGAGACATCAGTCCAGGTTGACAGAGCCAGTGGGCGCAGGCTGCTTCCTCCTGGGCGCCTGCTGGATAACAAGGAGATGTTCGCTGTCTGCTCAGGAGGGGCTGGTGAGCAGGGACGGCTCCTGCCTCCCTTCGCTTCTCTTTTCGTGACTCTGTAAATGAAGGCTCCATTCGCAGCGGCTCAGACCTGTCTGCCTGGATGAGGAATGGTTTGTTTGTGCAGCCTCTGGATGTGACGAGGGAGGTGATTTAGGCAGGTGGGGTGGGAAGGAGATTGCTAACCCCAAAGGAGTCCCTTATGGAGAAGGAAGATTACCAGCTGCGCTTACTCTGCGATTGGATGGAGGCAGGGCTTGTTCATTTCAGTCACTCGAAAGGGAATGTTCCTGGGAGGCATGGGGGAGAACGGAGCCAGAGAAAACAATCCCATCAGATCCTGTCAATTAACTAATGACCTTTCCTGAAGGTGTCAGGTCCATTGTACCTGGTGTGCATATATCCAACCACTGGGTGTCTTATACCCATGGGTGTTTATTCATTCAACAAGCATTTGTTCAGTCCCTACTATGCACGGGGAGCCTTTCTAAGCTTGGATGATACAGCAATGAGCAAAACCAACACAGACAATCGTCCTTGTGGCGATCAGAGCCTGGTGGGGTGGAGCGGCATTAATTAAACGATTGCTGGGCGGGGCATTGCAGATTGCTATGGAAGCATATAAGACGGGGATGGCTTGTATAGGGGGGTTCAGAAAGCCTTCCCTGGGGCACTCGGGGTCTGAAGGATGAGCGGGGGGTGGGAAGTGGGGAAAAGAGCATTTCCGGCAGAGGGCACAGCAGGTGCAAAGTTCTGATGTGGGACACAGCAGACCTTCCAGGACCTGAAAGGAAGCCAGGAGGTAGAGAGCAGAGAGAGAGGGGAGCGTGGGAGAGGAGGGAGGAGGTGGAGAGGCAGGGAAGGGCGGATCTGCTTAGGGTCTTTTGGCTGTGCAGACCCATCCCCCCAAGAGGAATGGGCAGCCATTGGGGGTGTTACGCTTGGAAGTGACATGGTCAGATTTGTGTTTGAAATGGCCACTCTGAGTAGAGTAAGACTGCTCCTGAGCATCAATCCCAGGCCTCAGATAATTAGGCAGTAGATTCAAAAGTAAAAATATTTATGTTTTTCCTTTCCTTTCCCACACAGAGTTGCTAGATTTCTCCAGGAATCCAATGTGCCTGAGAGGATTCTGTGTTGATTGAATGGAGTTGTGGTTCTGGTTTTAAAGGGCCACCCAAGTGAGACCAGGGTCAACTTTGGGGGCTGGTGAAATGTCACTGTGAACCCTGGATGAGCTTAGTTGCAGGGCAGATGTTGAATCAAGGACAATGGTGCCAAGAAATGCAGGAAGGGCTCCCAGAGGGGTGAGGGCCATGGCCAAGTCTTCTGATGCTGGCTTGAGCCTCTGAAGGTCATTTTGGCCTTGAATTTCTGGTGAAACCTGAAAAACCACATTTTTTTATCCTGGATGCCTGGGAAGCAGACCCTTCTTTCTGCTTGCCGGACCTGCCCACCTAGCTAAGTGCTTTACACATAGGCTGTCACTGGCTGAGGTCAGAGCTGGGGGGCCTCAGAGGTCAGTGGGTCCAGAGCTTCTTGGGATGTGGTCTGTGGACCCCTCCATTGGCATCATCTCTGGGATCATAGTTTAAAAACTTCAGACTCCTGGTCCTACCTCAGACCACTGAGTCAGACCTTTTTGGGGAGGGAGGAACAGTGGTAAGGTCACTGAACCCTAAGGGACCGGTGAGTCACAAGTGGGTCCTTTGGCCCAGAGCTGTTTGCACCAATAGAATGAGACTGGGTTGGGAATAGCAGAGCAGAAATGTTATTCGTTGATCAATGAATGGAGGAGGCAGAGGAGGCAGAGCTCGTGCTCTAAAACACCTCCCTGAAGGGAAGGTGAGCCGGGTCTTATGGGATGTGAAGAGGGCGGGGTCTCCACATCACTGCTTGGTGCGGGGGCATTTGGGGCATGCACAGATCTTCCCTTCTTGCACACGGCACCTTTTGCACACGTTTCCTTTTGCACACAGCACTCCATTGCCATCTTGGACCTGTCTGGTTTGGACCTGTTCTGTGGTTTGGCCCTCTGGCAGCGTTCTGCCGTGGTTCCTATAAGCAAGTACAACTTAGGAACAAAGCATTAGACATGGAAAATGTTTTAGGGACTTCCCTGGGTGACAGTAGGCCCTCAGGGAATCAGCATTTAAGAAGTGCTCCTGGGGATTCTTACACACACTATTAGTTTCCTGTGGCTGCTGTAAAAAATTACCACAAACGTGGTGGCTTAAGGCAACAGAATATATTCTCTCACAATTTGGAAGGCCAGAAGTCCAAAATCAGTTTCACTGGGCTGAAACTAGGGTGTGGGCAAGGCCACATGCCCCCCATAGGCTCTGGGGGAGAATTTGTTCTTTGCCTCTTCCAGCTTCCGGTGGCTGCCGGCATTCCTGGGCCTGTGGCAGCATCATTCCAATCTCCGCCTCTGTGGACACACCGCCCTCTCCTTGTTTGTCTGTTGTCAGATCTCACTCTGCCTCCGTCTTATGAGGACACTTGTGATTGCATTTAAGGCCACGATAATCTTCCCCTTTCAAGATCTTTAATTTAACTTAATCTGCAAAAATCCTTTTTCCAAATAAGGTACTATATACAGGTTCCAGAGATTAGGACTTAACATCTTTGGGGGACCATTTTCCAGCCTGCCACACACACTGAAATTCAGAAATCACTGATGTGGTCCACATCCTTTGGGTAGAACAGGCCTGGGTTCTGGAGCTCTGAGAAAATTGGTTAATCCAAGGTCACAGAGCCCATTTCACTTCTGAGATTAGAACCCACGACTCCTGATTCCCAGGTCTTCTCTTTCTGGTCCTGGTTCCTAGGAATCATGAAAGCTGATGTACCAATTGCTTCTTAGTACCATTCAAAGCAAATTACACGTACCACCTCATCACTCTTCCAAACAACCCTATGAGGTAGGTCCTGCTATTATCTTCCATTTTATAGATGAGAAAATTAGGGGGAAGAGAGGTTAAATAACTTGCCCAAGGTGACAGAGCTAATTACTGGTGCAGCTGAGATAGAAACGACCACAGTCAGTGGCCAAAACCTTCATTCGTCACTGGAACAGCCTCCACTGAGGCTGATCCACTCTGTGAATCGCCTGTCTCTGATATTTTGTCTTCCCAGCAAATGTGGACCTAAACTTTTCTGGAAGGAAAGAAAACCTCTGTAACCGCTGCCCTCCTCATGCTCAGAACCACTTCTCCAACTCCTTGGTGGATACTTGCCTCAAACTGCGAGATAGGCCTGCTCATCTCAGCCAGTGGGGCCAATGGGAGGCAGGAAGGTCTTTCAGAGTGGTGGGGATGGCTGTGATCCTAATGGATTTCTTAGGTTAATGGCCCAGGAGGGGCCTTAGAAGGTTCCCAGCCTCCGAAGTGTCTGCTGAAAGGCAGGAGGGGAAGGAGGTGCAGATTGATTTGTACCTTGGGTACATATTTGCTCCTGGCCGTGACTCAGCCTCCCTTGGGAGCAGGGCCTCGGGTGAAATGTTTACCTGCTCCGCCTCCCCTCCATGCTGCCTTATAGCTCCCGCCCTGTGGGGCAGGTCTCAGAGCACAGAGCAGCTCTGCCCTCCTGTCTACCCCACGGAGCCCACGGCCATGGCAGCCCTGGTGGCCGGAGTGTCCAAGCAGCGGGCGGCAGCGGAAGGTCTTGGCTCCAACCAGAAAGCCGTGAAGTACTTGGGCCAGGACTTCGAGACCCTGAGGCAACAGTGCTTGGACTCAGGGGTCCTGTTCAAGGACCCGGAGTTCCCAGCATGCCCGTCAGCCTTGGGCTACAAGGATCTTGGACCAGGCTCCCCCCAAACTCAAGGCATTGTCTGGAAGCGGCCCACGGTAAGGAGATGGGCTTGCTTTTGGGTGTCATCCGGGATGGAGGGCCCTCACTTCTGGTCAGAAGTAGTTGAGGGAGATGTCATGGCTCTAGATCCCAAGTTCCTGGATCTCATATTCTAGAACAACCTCCCACCGCCTTTAAAAAATCTTTTTGGAGGCAGTGAGGTACAGAGGGAAGAGCAGCTTGGGCTTCGGAACCAGATAAATTAGATCTGAATCCTGGCTCTGTCCGTGTGGCCTCGGACAGATAACCTCTGTGAACCTCAGTTTTCTCATCTGTAAAATGGGCTTACTGGCACCTTACTTTTCAGGTTGGTACGAGGACTAGAGATGAAACACAGAGCGTAGTGACTGGCACGTAATAGGCGCAGAATACGTGGTAGTTGTTGTATTATTGCGTCCTGGGCCAGCACACAATGCAACAGATCAGTGCTGGATGTAAGCAGTCCTGGGGTGGATGTGAAAGGTGCAAGGTGTTTAAGGTCATGAATTGTCATTGTTCTCTCAGAGCTGGTGAGTGGAGAGGTGGGGGCTGTGGGTCTGTGAACGCAGGTGGAAGTCAGGGGCTCCTAGGTGCTGTCATTGATGCCACCCAAAGCTCCAGGGCAGGGGATGGAGAACAGTCCTCCCCAAATCTAGCCCTATGACTTGCTGCTCTGTGATCCCGTCAAGCGATTTAACCTCCCCGCGCAGAGTGGTTGTGAGAAGTGAGATGATCGTACGAAGAGCTCTGATCAGTGTCTGCCACAGAAAAGGTCTCACAAGAGAGCGCACTCAGTGGTCTTTGACCAGGGTGCCTTTATTTTCTAGACCACAATGGGAAAATCGAGTCATGGTACCTGTTTTCTTGGCAGTGGTTGAAAAGGGAGGATAAGGAGAGAATAATTCTTTGGACATGGTCAAAATCATCATTTAGCTCCAGCTCTCTCAACCCCTCTGTTTTCATCCTCTCAATTTGGCACAGCAGTTTCCATCTCTGAGAATGACTCCTGTGCCCTGCCTCCCTCCTGCCCACCATGGCCCATCTTCCCATCCCCCTCCAAAACTTATGGGGTTACCCTGGGATGTTGGCAAAATCAAGGTTGGGAATCACACTTTTGTATTCTAATGTCGAGAGTTGACAGCCACGTTTCATTTCAACAGTTTTCCAGGCCCTGTTCTGTGTCAGGTGTTGGCTGTGCCCTGTTTAGGAAGGTGGTCGGGGAGAAACTGAGGCAGGAGCTGGGGTCTCAGCTCTGATGGAGATTATGGGGAGACAGACACGTGAATAAAGGACTGACACCCTGGGCAGGATGAAGGACGTACTCAACAGAGGCATGAACCATGGGTGTGGGAACCTGGGATGTTAGGACCCGTTGATGGAAAGACTTAGGGAGGAGGATGCATTCTAGCAGGATTGAAGGACCCCAAGGGGCTTGGGGGCGGGGGGAGATGGAAATGGGGGGAAGAGATTTCACTTTGTGACCAAAGTCAAGTGTCAGTTAACCTTTGCCTCGTTTTTCTCCTTTGTTTGAAATTCTTAAAGCCCTTACCTCCTCAACCACGTTGCCTGTTCCCCCTCTCAGACTGCGTCTTCACCTGGCCCCACTGTCCACGTAAATATGGTAGCTTTAGACTGGGTGTGCTGATTGTGCCTGTCAACAGAATGCTATAAAATCCAGAGGATGAGGTGCTAGAGCCTGATTAATGTGGAATTGAAGTACTCCCATTATTTGGAGTTTTCAGGTGAATAAATAATGCTTGTCAAAATCTACCCTTTCCATCCTCCATTGTCAGTGAGGAATTGTCACACGGCTGTCTTTGGCCAGGCTGTGCTCACACATTGCAAGGTACATTACAGGACACAGTTTTATTCTCTAAGATCTTACAGATTATTAAATAGACTCCTGAGGCAGTAATGACCCTGATTTTATCTCTATCAGGGACGTGCCTTGGAACCTGGGAAAATCAGACTGTTCCTAAATGCTTCATTTCTTTCTCTCAAGAGCCTCTCAGGGCCTGAAAGATGGTTGGGTTATCCATAAATGAGGTGCAGTAATGAGTTCACTTGCTACTTTCTTCCCTCCCTTCCTCTCCCCTCCCTCCCTCCTCCCTTCCTCCCTTCTTTCTCTGTCCCTGTCTCTCTCTCCCTCCCTCCCTTCCTTTCTTCTTTCTTTCTCTCATTGTGGTAAAATACACATAACATAAAATTTACCATCTTAATCATTTTTAAGTGTACAGTTCAGTGCCCATCTTCCTCTATTTTATATGGGACGCCGCCATAGCATGGCTTGACAAGCAGCACGTCGGTGTGCGCCTGGGATCCGAACTGGCGAACCCCGGGCCGCTGCAGTGGAGTGCGCGCACTTAACCGCTTGCCACTGAGCTGGCCCCTATTTTTGATTTTTTTGAGGAACCGCCATATCGTTTTTCATAACCACTGAACCATTTTACATTCCCATCAACAGTGCACAAGGGTTCCAATTTCTCCACATCCTTACCAACGCTTGTTATTTTCTGTTTTTTGATAGTGGCCATCCTAATGGGTGTGAGGTGGTATCTCATTGTGGTTTTGGTTTGCATTTCCCTAATGATTAGTGATGTTGAGCGTCTTTTCATGTGCTCATTGACCATTGGTATATCTTCTTTGGAGAAATGCCTGTTTAAGTCCTTTGCCCATTTTTAAATTGGATTGTTTGCTTTTTTGTTTCGCTTGCTGCTTTTAGGATGACTTCTTACTTTCTTAGTCTTCGGGGCTTTAAGTCAACTGCCCAGATGTGGCTTTTATGATCCTGGTTCCTACAAAGATGTTAATTTTTACCTGCCTTTGGGAGAAAGGTAATGGGATGGGCTAACTACATCTGCATGTATGTTTTTACCCTCTCAATAATAAATAGATCTTGGTACTTAGATGTTTTCTGAAATCATAAAATTTGACATCCTGCCCCTGCTGGGTGTTTCTGCCTATTTTGAAGCTGCTGAGTGAAAGATTTGCTTGGGCTCTTGGTCCAAGGGTTGGAAGACAGATTTTGCCCAAATTCGAAGATCTCAAGGTCAAGCTTGGGTTCTCAGGGTAAACGTTTGGCTACTCACGACCCTAAGGCGTTGTTTCCCACTAGTGTCGGGGACGAGCAGCAATCCTATCACAAACAAGGTAGCTGGCCGTGTAAGACCAGGGGGTGCTGTTAGCTGCTGCTTCTCTGCGTTCTCATGTCCCGGCTTCCCCACTGTGCTGAGTCGATGCCCAGCCCAGGCCCCTGTGGTTTGAAGGATGTTCAGTGTGTGCGGGCCCTAGTGTGGCCCAGTCAATGATATTTGTCTCTGTCCAATTTTTGGCAATTCACCAGTTTCTTGATCCTAAGGAGAAATAGAGAGAGAGAAGTGGGGCGATGTCAGGTGCACAGTAAGGACCTGTGAAACAGCCAACCCACGTTAAGAGTAGTATAGACAGGTTGAATTGTTGGGAAGTCGGATAAGGATGAAGGAGAGGTGGCTCGGGTTGGGGCTTCCACTCTTTTTCTAGCTGCTGCTTCGTGGATTCATGAATTTGAAGTTTTCAGTTCAGCCTTGACTTACTGAGTGCTGGTCACGTGCAGGTGCTAGGGCAGAGCCTTCGTGGAGCGTTAGCTAGTCGGGGAGAGGGGCAAGTGGACAGCTGACAGGCAGCAGAGTGGCTAAGAGCTTGGGCCTGGGCATCAGGTGGATCCGGATTCTGGTTCCCTCTCTGTCATTTACCCGTCTGGCCATGGGTAAGTAACTAACTTCCCCGGGACTCAGTTTCCTCATCTATAAAATGGGAATAATAATATTACCTACCTCATTGGGTTATTGGGAGGCTTGAATGTGAGAATGGGTTGAATGCAGTGGCTGGTCCATAATAAATACTTGATACGAGGAGCTGTCTCTAGCTGTTATCACAAGACAGAATGTCCAGAGGGTGAAATACAAATATGAACAAGATGTCTGGGAGTTCAGGGGAAGAAGCAAGTAAATTTGACTGTGGAATTGGGGCAGGTTAATTACTGCAGACATTCATGCTGGGCTTGGAAGAACAGGGTCATGATAGAGACCATGGAGAAGGCACAGGTGTGAGCAAAGGCTGTAGAAGGTTGTGGAAGTATATTCAGAGCAAGCTTATCCAGAAAGAGGCATGGTCCATTGTCATTAGAGGAGGGAGAACACTGTGAGAAACAGAGATGAGGCTGGAAACATCAAATGGGGCCAGATCCTAGAGGGACAGGAGTGCTGGGCTGAATGATGTGGCCATCCTTGACGGTGATGACGATGAAGATGGCAGCATCACTGGGTTTCCCAAAAGTGCATGGCCAGAGCTCTGAAATGCCAAACATAGACTGTCAAACATGGGCGAATGCCCTGGGGAGCGATGTTTCCAAGTTGCCATCGTCACTGAGAGTGTGTGGTTTAAGTCACTTCCTACCTTGGATTCCTTACTGATGCCTGTTTCTCTTGTGCCCATTCGTCAGAGGCTGATACGAGGCTTGAGTAATTTGTGTGACGGAGTGTTTTGAGATCTCTACCCGAGTAATAGTAAACATTATTACTAAAAAGACATGATTGTTATTAAGGAAGAAAAAAATAGTGTCCCAAGTGTGGGAGGTGGGAGCCTGCCTTTTCACAGAGGTCTGCCTCTTTAAACCTCTTTGGCAGCCAAATTACTCTGTATCTCTGATCTGTGCTCTATTAGAGAGCAATGGAGAGAAGACTTCGGGAATGCTCTTGAGGCATAATGCTGCGATGCAATCTCCTTGCAAAGCTGAGGACCTTTTGTGGCCCCTGAAAGATTCATACAACATTTTAGCCATGGCATTTCTTGGTTGTTTTTTCTTGGAAGGGGTGCATTTGGAATTATGCTAATAAATAACATGTAGCAAAATGAACATTCCACAAACCACTTAGGAATGTGGTTCTGTTATAACCATTCTGTTTATAACACTTTAATTTGTCTCTAGCCTTTGCAAACCACTCTGTCTTCCAAACCAAACTAAAATTTTAGCAGAACTTGGTAGATCTATTAGATATGAGTCTAATGAGCTTATATCCCATGAACAGTGTGACACAGGTAATTGAATACACAGCTCAGCGGGGTGATTTTGGAAGCATCATCATATTCTAATGTTAGGAGTTGAAGCCATGGGTTTGGATGATGTCACCAAGAGAGAATGCGTAGGGCATGTTATTGCTGTATGAAATGGGGTCATTGCAGGGGGTTAAGGACTGGCCCCAGGGTTCCCTGATTCTTAGGGGTGAACAGAGGGACCCTTGAAGGAGAATGAGAAGGCGTATTTAGAGAGGAATGAGTAAAGATGCAGAAGCCAAGAGAGGAGAGTTTTCAGAAGGGGAGACTAGACAGTAGTATCAAATGTTAAGGAGAAGTTAGACTGGCATCGAATAGTGCTCCATCTGTGACTACTGTGACTTAGGTGGCAGGAGTTCCATGGAGCTGTGCAGGTAGAGGCCAGACTTCAGGAGACAGGTGGATGGATGGGTGATGAGAAACAGGGGACTATTTCAAGAGGGTCTTTAAGGGGGCAGATTCTGCCATACCCCTGTAGGATGCGCTCTCCTCCTTTCCTTCTCAATGATGCAACCTCTTTCTTCCTTTCTTAAAACAAATTTTAAATTAAAAATTTTTTGTCCCTCCCTTTTTATTTATTAATTTTTCAATGAATGTTCACCAAGAGGTGACAGGCTGGAGACTGGGAGCTCTTGAGCACTTGGGATTAGAATTTGCAGCTGCCCACTTTTAGAACACCTAGTTTGGCTAATGACGCTTCTCTCTTGAAATTACCACTAGAGATTGCAGAAGATTGAAACAAATAAACAAACAAATGGAAATGGAGCCAAAGATCCATCACTACAGGACTGGCTAAATAACTCATGATACTTATAGTGAAATTTCAAAGCTCTATAGGTGCTAAGAAAGATGCACAAGACATGTGTGATAAAAAATGGATATATGTGTAGATGTGCTTTTATATGCAAAGACAGTTTCTGGAGGACACACGAGATATGTTAACAGTGAAGGATCTGAAGTGGAAGGAACTTTTTGTCTTACAGCATTATTTACTGTTAGATTTTTTTTATCCATGTGCATGTATTACTTTTTCAATAAAAAACAAGTTAATGAATTTTTTTTAATACTTGGAAGGAAAAAAAAGCCAGCCCAAAGGCACCGTTTCCTCCCATTTTGGCAGGGTCTGGCAGCTTTATATAGGGTTGTAGGGCTGCCGCTTGGAAGGCTCCATGTCATACAGCAAACCCCAGAATCCCAGTTCACGTCCCCTGGTGTCTGTCTTTAGCTCATCCTCTGGCTTCCTTGTTTTTTTTGAACCACCATTTCTTCATCTCTATGGAGTACGATGGAAATGCTTCTCGCTCTTTGTGGCCAGACGGTCCTTGATGTAATAAATCCCAGGAGGACTCTGGTGAAATGTGGGTTTACCTCTTTTGTCCGGAGGTCCCACCCTTTCCCTCTTACAGCTGGCGTGGTGGCTGGGCCCACCCACCCCTCCTTCGGGAACCAATCCATCGTCTGCTCCTAAACACTGTCTTTGTAATGTCCATCTAAGTCTTCCATACATAATCTCTAGGGGGCATTTCTCATTTTTCTCCCTTTGCGTATGTAGTTCACATTCCATCATTAGGCATTCGGCCTTTTCTCTGATTTTTTCGTGAATGGTTTGGATTCCCACGTAGATTGAAAGCTCTTTGAGGCCAAGAACCACGTGTTTTCCTTTCTTCATTTCACCACGCTCCCCTCTCTCCTCTGCCTGCCATGGTGCAAATAGCACGGTGTCTAGAATGGGCACCCAATAAATCCTTGCTGGGTAAACAAAGAAAGAAGGAATACCTGAGGAATGCCTTCTTGGGCCCCAATAGCGCACCAGGGTGGTGAGGTTGCCTGTGGGCAGAGGGCATCTTCACGCTGAATGTTTAACCTAATTTAGCACGTGTCTCAGGGAAACACAGGGCCAGCGAGGGGAGGAAGCACAGATATGTGAACATCCCAGAGGTGAGCTCTCTCTGCATATGGCACTTTGGTGTCTCCATCAGCACATGGGCTCATCATCATTTAGTTGAGTATTTAGTGAGTGTCTACAGAGTGTGTAGCATTTTGTAGAGTGCTAACCATTATCCTAATCTTCTCTCTGTAAATAAGGGTGTTGTCTGAATGGGTGAGATCATATTTCATCACCTTATTATCTCAGACTTTGCCTTTCTCCGCCCCGCCCCCTTCTCACACCCACACACCCATACAGTATGCATAGCCTTAAAATTACTGGTCACTTTGGGGCCATGGGCTCCAGCTCCTGCTCTGTCACCCCATGGCTGTGTGACTGTGGGCAGGTGTCCTCCCTTCTCTGGGCGTCAGAGTCCCCAGCAATAACATGAGCTATGCACAGTAGATGATCTCTTAGGTTTCTTCCAGGTCTGAATTCAATGACTCTCAAGTTCCTTTACCCTGGCTGCCGCCATCGCTGGGCATCCTCTTGTGACTTGTGTTTTGTTCCAAATTGCTTTCAGGAACTGTGTTCCAGCCCTCAGTTTATCGTTGGTGGAGCCACGCGCACAGACATTTGTCAGGGTGGTCTCGGTGAGTAACCTGGGAGAGTCCTGTTTGTTTTGGGAGAGGGCGGGTGTGTGTGTGTAATGAGTAACATCAGATTAAGCTGTTAGACTTGACCGACTAAATTCCGTCCCTGATTTACCCATATGGGTTTGTGTTTTTGAGATGGTATTCTTCACTGTGGGTCTGGAATGTTCGAACTACCTCTGGCTCCCCCTAACAAGAGATTTCCTGAATGCTCATTTAACCCCCCCCCTTTTTTTTTTTTTTTTGCTGAGGAAGATTCACCCTAAGCTAACATCTATTGCCAATCTTCCTCTATTTTGCATGGGGGTTGCTGCCACAGCATTACCGATGAGTGGTGTACATCCGCACCCGGGAACCCAACCCGGGCCACCGAAGACGGGCGTGCCGAGCTGAACCGCTAGGCCACCAAGCCTGGCCCTCATTTAACCTCTTTTAATGCTAGAGTAACGAGCCAGGATTATAGGCATGTACTTGATAACCGTGCTGTGCTATGTTTTGATAATAGTTACCTTTAAGTGGACATAATTTGCCCTATGGAATGGCAATGTCTATACAATTATGGGCTGTCATAATAGGTGCTTTTATAATTAGTAAGAACACAAGAATCTTATCTATCTAGCCAAGCTTTCTTTCACTAGCCCGGAATCCTAGGATTAAGAACCTTTACTTCCCAAACTTTCACATTCCCTCCAAATCAGGTGCAGTTAAGCTTAGGAAATAATTTCTTTTCTTTTCTTTTGTAAATTCTAGCCTCAAGTCAGAAACCGAGGTTCTCCTTGATAGCACATTAGCTTGTTGATCTCATAAACCCTGCTGATCCTAGGGCCTCACAGTTTCTGCATTGAGTTGGACAAGACTGATATTTTACGGGACAACATGGCCCTGAATTAAATTCACTGGGCTTCCAAATCGCCATCAAGTGATAGCTGCAAAATATAGAGTTGGAAATGAAGGCAACGAGGAAACAAATCCTACTTGGTGAAATCAGCACAACAAAATCTCAGCATCCATACGGACTTGCTAAGCCTTTATTTGTCAGGAGGTTCCCTTCCTTTTCCTCCTTGTTCCAGCGTGGTTCAGCCCGCTGGAAACCTTTATGATTTTGCAAATCACAGGGCATTTTATTTTAAATGCTTCCAGTGTTCTCTCCTTTAATGAGGAGAGCAAATGTCCCCTTAGCCGGAGCTCATGGAGCGTGAGTATAAAGTAGCGAGAATGATTTGGGGTGCCACACACAGACATGTGCCCGTTCCCTGAAAAACACAGCCTCCGGTCCCAACCCTTTGTGTCAGGGCTCGCAGCGGGGTGGCGTTCTGACCTTTTCTTGTTCTAAGTGTGGCTTGCCTTTTTCCTTCAAGCTAAATGTTTAACCTAATTTAGCAAGTGTCTCAGGGAAACACAAGGTCGAATCTGCTTTTAATGGCTTCTTCTTATGGATGTTTTAACTTTGGAAAAGGTGTTTCATAAGTGCCTTTTAATTGATGGACTTGGATAGATCTCCTCTGAATAGTTTTAAGCGAGGAGACAAGAGGGTTTCCAAAAAGAGGCCGGAGCGTTACCATGGTGAGCGTATGCTGCCAATGATGGAGCCGGCTGGAGGCGCAGGAAATGAACCCGGCTAGCTCTCAGAACCCATCTCACATCAAAGGGAGTGCGGCCCTGCTGCGGAGGAGGCCGCCCTGGGTTAGCCCAGCCGCGGCGGCGGCGGTGGTTTTTAATGAACAGAGCGGAAAGGAGCTGTGAAGTCCAGCTGCCTGAAGGGCGCTCGGTACGGGGCCTACGGTCCTGTCGACCTGATGGAGACTCAGCAAGTAGAAAAGTGGGTGCCTCATGGCGCCAGGCCTGCAACTCAGCGCCAGGGTGAAAGTTGGTGGCTGAGTCCCAACAGCCTGTGTGGCCTGTGAGATTTGTACCAGGGCTGGCCCTGCACGGTGGGTGGATTGTGGCGAGATTAAGAGGAGCCCGACACACAGCATGTGTCCCCACAGAAGAAGGCGGTGTCATGCGGCCCTTGTTGAATCAGGGCGTGACATGGATTAATGTTTGTTAAATGCTTTGTTGGTTTTTCAGAGTCCAGCACAGTGCAGCGGGGTCTACTCTAGATTTTAAAAAAATTCATGATTATTTTTGAACAGTTGATCTATACAGTGAACATGATGTCTTTTTCACAGAGTTTTGTGTTACTATTATTTTATTATTTTGAATAGACACTCTCCAAAAATTAAAACAACTGCAAGGCATGCAGTTCCCATCTGAAAAATCAGCTTCCCATCTGTCATGTGTGCAGAGACCTCGCTGGTCCCTCGGCCGCTTGTTCCAGCAGTCTGTCTCTCCCTTGCACGTTGGCCCACGCGTGTCACCGAACATCTTGGGGCTTCTGTGGCCACTGAAATAGAATCTATTGGCTCATCCAGCTAGACCGTGGAAAGGGAAGGGCAGCCTTGGTCTCAGGAAGCCTGATCCAGGGATCTGAAATGTTCCCGGAGCTATCTCGGCCTGTCTCTCCTCTCTGCTGGTCTCTGCTGGCTTCTTCTCTCTTCCATGGCAGGGAGGCTCCATATGGCAGGAAATATGACCACGAGTGGTTCCAGACTTCAACCCCGTAGAGTCACAAACCAGCTTTGGTTTTACAAATCTCAGAAACGGACTCTGATTTGATGGTTTGGGTCGTGGCCCATTTTTGGATTCAGTTATTTTGGCTGGAGGAGTGAGGAACTGTATGGTTGGCTCAGCCTGGGTCGTGGGCCTGCTCTTGTGACTGGGAGCCTCCCCGCCGAACCACAGGCGGAGTTCTCCAAAAGAATGGGGCAGTGGCGCTGGGCAGACAGAATAAAGAAAGTACACTTCAACATCTAAGTGGGGTGGAGGGGACTCAAGTCTACTGTGCTGGCCTGATCCCCTGATGACCTGATGGGCTGTGCTCTCCCCATCCCAGGTCATCTCTATTCTTTGAACCCAGTGGCCCTGGCATCTCTCCCCCGCCCCTAAACCCGTTACCCTGCAGTGCTCCTGGAAATGCCCATGCCTGAAGGCCCTCCTCTCTTTGGTATCTACAATAAACAGCAGTGCCTAATTCAGTCCGCCAAGTGGAAAGAGCTCACGCAGGGAGACCTGGGTCTTCACAGTCTACCTGTGGCCTCTCTGCCTCAGTTTTCACAGCTGTGAAGTGGGACTATAATCCAACCCAGGTCGCCAGGTGGTTATGATGAGTAGAGAATTGACACCCGGTTCCTTGTCCTCTGAGAAGTGGGCACTCCCATGGTGGAAGTGGATGTTAATGACCCTGGGTCCTGACTGTGGCTCCACAGGCCTGACTCTCTTACACGTCTCTACATCCACAGTGTCTGGGAGAGAGCTGGGCTTGATGGATGTTTGTGAACTTTTGACCTGTCGACCTAACCCCTCTGCATTCTACCATCATTAAATCATTTGAAAACAGGGAGAACCTAAATCTGAGGCTACTTGTGTCTTTCTTCCTTCCTCGCCAGTATCACTCTTGGCAATCAGGCTGGGTCAGGCATTTAGAATACAAATTCCATCCTGAAGTTGTCTATGTGTCTTTATTTTCAGAAGATTCCCAAGTTTCATGCAAACTAGCTTGTCTGCCTGTCTGTCTTCAGCTCACTGAGGCTGCTGGGTAGGAGTATAAAGGTGTTTGAAGGTGTTTGCTGATCCTTGACAATGGAGGAATGTCCCAGGGACAGACCTGGAATGACATTATCTCAAGGCCCTGATGGTGTTGTGAATAAAGGAACACAGGGAGAAGCCCCTACTTCCTGCTCGCCGGATCCTGTGACCCCCCAGGGGGACTCTGCTCTGAGGCCTCTGAGTTGGCCTGTCTCTCAAGCTCAGCAAGACCTTCTAACTCCAGCTGCCACACAGGTCCACCTGTCCCTACCTTAGTTCATCCACGTGGAGGGGAACACCGAGACCAGGTATCACTTATGCCTGTGGGTGCAAAAATGCAACAGGACTTGAAACTTCTTTAGGCATAAATGGGCCCAAAGGCCATGTGAAGGATGTTACTTTACAACCATAGGCGACCTTGGTCCCTGAAAAATGAAATTGGGCACTTGCTGTTTTCAGGAACAGGGAGCAGGAGATTTTCTTCTAGAACAAATGGGGAACAGAGGCTTCAGACTTTAGATAGGAGTGTGAATGCTTTCTGGATAACAAATGCCACAATGTTTATCCACACTTTTGATCTGCCGGGTGGTTTATTTTCCAGGCAGAGCAGGATTAGTGAGTGAGATAAGCTTTCCTTTGAAGGTTTGGTGAGTATTGGAGTTTCCCTCTCTTCATCTTGCCTTCTCGTCCATTTTCCCCTCTGGTGTGTTTGCGCTCCTGTGTGCCTGCTTATCTCTTCTATCGTCCTTTCTCTATCGACCCGATTTTTCTCTTCACCTCTGTGGAATTGATGTCTTTTTTATCTTTGTTGTCTTTATTGAATAGAGTTTTATATTCTGTATTCTTGTTTTGAAAAGGGAACGACTATCCCATTTCACATGTCTCTAGGGACATATAAAAAACAAAAACAACGACTTAAATTCAGGTGCCTTCTCTGCTGCATCCTCCACATTGATTTTGCTCCGTGAGTCAGGGCTTCCCCATCGAGATGGGCTGCCCTCCTGGAGCAGGGGCTGGATGCATACTGCTCTCAGCAGTCAGGACTGCTGTCAGCATTTTGAAAAGCACTTTGCTAGACACCTTTTGATCTGTAGCATCCTTCGAGGACTGGGGCAAAGTCAGTCAATTCACTAAGACTAAATGGTTCCTTGTAATGAGCAATCAGGGGACGCCTCAGAGAACTTAAAGGGCCAAATCCACTCATTGATTCTGGTGAGCACAGGGTCAGACTTCCAGCAGCAGAAAAACTATAGATGACATTTCCTTGCAGCCCAGTCATACGTGATATGGAGGAAATTTGCTTTTGCTCACGGGGTTGTATCCTGCCTATGGTGGTTCCCCATTTTTGTGGTGTATCTTTCCCCTCTATTTGA